ACCGATGTTGGAGGCCAGAGCGATGCCAAGGATGAGGGCTTTGGAGAAACGGGAGTCTGTGGGGAGATTTCGGAGCATTGGCTGATTTTGATGTCAGTTGGACGTAATGGGTTGTTTGCAGACGGAGAAGGCAGAAAAGTACTAACCTGGATGATAGAGAAGCACAAAACAGGAGCAGCAACATTGCTAATGAACATACTCAATATCATACCGACAAACATGTTCGTGAGGAGAACAATCCGCGGTTTCGTCCCGGCTTTACTCAGGACGAACGTTGCCATTCTGCGGGCTATGTCATATTTCGACAACGCAGCTGCCAGGGTAAAACCACCGAGTAGAAGCATAATGACTGGTGTCCACATTGCCGCGAAAGCAACTCCAGTGGCCTCCTTAGAGTTTAGGCGGTAATAAGGCTCTTCTTCAGACCGCATGATACGGAGAATGACCACCAGAAAAGGGACAAGTAGTGATGTAACGAAAAGCGGGATCACCTATATGTATCATATATTGTCAATATGAGTCTACATCCAGCATCACTAATGAACGAGATAGGCTCCGTGCTAGAACTTACCTCAGTAGACCATAATAAACTGACAAAAACTAACATGGCAAGACAATTGTTCTGTTCCGGCGTCTTCATAATCGGGAGAGCCAGCATGACACCAAAGACAATCACGATGGCCACCAACATGAAAAACGTGGAACTGAGTAACCACGCCGGCACAGGACATTTGCCAACAGGTGTGACAATCTCCTTCGTCGTGGGTTCCTGCTCATCGCCTTGTCTCTGTGCAGTCAGGGGATCCTGATCTCCGGCAAGCAGCATACGTCGCACGCCCATATTCGCAGCCTGTGCTTTGCGTTCGATCCCAATCATTTCTCGCCAAACAGTATTCCGTTCCCACACAACATGTTCCCTAAGATGTAAACGCAATTCCCTCTTAGAAAGCGCAAGATCACCCTTGGTGACGAGATCCGCATAAATCTTCTCGATCTTAGCAACGTTGTCATTGAGCGTCTCCATAATGGGATTTGTAAACGGGTAGGTAGTGGAGACAGTAGTGTTCATATACGAACGCCTCAGACTGCGGTCAAGGGTTTTATCATATTTCTTCAAGGCCTTGGAGAAGCCCGTTCGATTGAGTTGGATGAATGATTTGAGGTCGCAGAGGGAGACATATACGCTAATGATACGCTTCTTCAGCGTGATGCCAGTATGATACAAGGCAGAATAGTTAGAATCGAAGAGGAAATCGTGATCATGGTCCAGGCCACCGGGCAAGATCCTCGATTCGCTATTATCGCTCGCGGTGCAGTGGAGTGGTTCACGATAATGTTTGTGATAGTCCTTCCAACTGGAGCGACGGCGACCATCTCGACTCCGGGGTTCATCCATATCAACATCATCGTCACTAGAAACATCGTCGTTATTAGGCGCATCGTCACCATCCGCAGATACGCTGTGGGTGCTAGCATGGGCATCCCTGCGTTGCCCGCTACCACTACCACCACCCTCGCCTCCACCTTCACCTCCACCAAAACCAAAACTGCGGAAAATGCTTTCATGACGAACCCAACCACCGGTACTAAGCTTTCGGGTTCGGACCATGGTGTCTTCAACTGAATCCATGTCCGACCCTTTCGTTTCTTCAATGAACGACTGCTCATCCTTGATGACGTTCTCAACCTCCGTGTAGAGCTCCGTTTCAGTTTGACGGTAGAAAGTACATATCTTTTCTAACTCCCCATCAAGAGCACGACGGAATACGGTATCAGTGTCGAGGGAGGAGTCGAGAAGGGGCGCAGACTCAACATTTTGGCCTGCTTCGTCAACCCGATTGACTTGCTTTTCAAGGGAGTATATCCTGAGTACAGACAGGGAAGAAAAATGCGTTAGCACTTATAAGTAAATAAATAAAAAAAAAAAAAAATTAAATAGAACAAAGCTCTAATATCCATGATTGTGGAAACAATACGATCCTAGACGAATAGAACAGAAATGCAAATAGGGAAAGGATAGGGACAAAAGCAAAAACTCACAATTTTTTTGAGATTGCTGTAGGCAATATAATGGCTACTCCAATCCGGCACCGCATTGAACTGGATGCTATGTGAGAATTTCATGATGTCGTCGTCAATTGGTAGGGTCTCCCAGCGAGGTCGTCGTTTAGTATTGCTCTTCCTATTCTGATTCCGATCCCTAGGAGCTCCCTCCTCCTCAAAATACCCTTCTCCTTCAGCGTCTTCCTCTGCTTCCCATCTATGTACAAAACTCCCAGACAACACTAAAGAAGACAATGCCGATGTCCTCCCTGGATTCCTCCGAAGGTCAGCCCCGCTAAACCGGGCAAAATAACCTTGAACCTTCTCCCACCACCTTATCGGAGGAGCAGCTGTATCTGTTCCTAATGTTTCTTCCTTCTCGGCAGGGCCGCGTCCGTCAGCGTGTTGGTTGCGTGGCGGGGATGTTAAACCGGCAGAGGCAACAACAGTGTGTTGGGTGGAGGAGGGGTGGTTGAATTCGACCAGCTCGATGCTACTGGGACCGAGTGAATGAGCCAGGGCGACGTGTGCACTTGGCCGGTTAAATATAAATACGTGATCCTTTGTTTCGTTAGACGAGCTTCGGCTTTGCTGGGTTGTTTGGTAGACGGTACGAAGTTAAAAAAAACAGAGAGGTTATTTAGCTAAATAGTGCAAGGCGATGCATACATTGACAAAACGCTATCAGTCAGAATGAATGCCTTGTTCTGGCTCGTGCGACGATTTTGTCTTTGCTGGATGTAATCTTGGGAGGAGAGGAAAAGCGCCGAAAGCCCGGGAACTAGAAATTAATAACAGGAGTTCAATAAACGAGGGGATGAGTCTAAATATTGCTGTCAAAGTCGAGTCTGTCATCCAAGGAAAAAAGAACTCCACAGCAAATATTTATTTAATTGTAGGCCAGCCATTCAACGACCAAGATATTTAAACTGTTGCACACTGCCCATGCACTGTTATATCATTGTCCTTCCCATTGCCAACAATCCCCCTACAACTACTGAGAAACACTATCTAGATTAGATGATCTTGGATACGCTGTTTCCGATGAATCTCATTTGATGCCAAGCGCGACAGACGTCTACAGCCAGCGAACCACGGATCCTTCTTCTGGCCGCCTCATTCTTCTATTTTACCCTTCTTTTCCTTGAATGTCCTGGACCTGCAGCTGCTCAGTGGCTGGACCCCCCGTACGGCCCCCGCGCAGTCCCGTGCGGGAATACATCGAAGCAATTGGCTATTTTCCTGTTCGAGGTTCAGGGCCGTTGAGAGGGCTTTCTCCCTTCTCTCCGGGACAAAAAGACAAAACTGATCCTCAATATATACTATACGATCCCCTCTAGCGTCAGCGTCTCATGATGTTGCTCTGATCCGTTGGGCCAGGCGGATTGAAGATTTGAGGGAAGGTTGAGTTGAACTATGCACGCTCTCAAGGTAGGTAGGGCTTTTTCATGGGGAAGCCAGCCACTGCGCCCCGGCCGACAGCTGGATGATTGATTTATTTAATCCGGATCCCCCCCCCCCCCGTGTTGGCTGGGAAGAGATGAGACTCAGCGAGGACAGATGACTCGAATGGTCTCTCAACCCATGCTGCCTGTTGGGAGTCTGTTTGCTCTCATTACTATCTACGACGCCTTTCAGGGTCATCAAACGTTCACCTGTGATTTCCAACTGATCATTACATATACATACTTGTGCACATCGCCTCCTCGGCTGCTGCTTACGTTTCAGACAGGAATATGCTTTTGCAGAGACATATCTCGAACATAGTACTACCCCCGTGGACATGGGATGTCATTAGATGATTGATTTATTAATAGATTATATCATTCTATGTATCCTGACAAGAAATATTCACTCATCCATGACCTACCCTGGAGCTTTCACGGGGCTAGTCTTCTCTCCGGCTGGAGTGCCAGTCTAAACGGAACGGGAAGAAATACACCATGTCAGCTTAAGCCCATGTGGGATATACGTTATATCGGTGTATATCAAGTGTTCCGACATGCTAGATATCTTAAAATTGGAGGATCAACTTACCCTCTACCCATTTCTTCACAAACTCAACTTCCTGAGCCTGCGCATCTGCCACGGGTCGAGGCGGAAGATCTGGCGTTGTTTCATTCGGAAACAAACCATTCTCATCCCCTGCAAATTTTAACAAGAATTTCTAAATCAACTATTTACACGAAACAAAGACCAAAGCTCCATATCCAAAAGACGAAGGAAAAGAAAGGTAAAAGAAAAAGAATCTCACAGTGATGCCCTCCCCCCTCAATCAAAATAAACGGTTTATCAATGGTGTTTTCTCGTGGTCTCACAGCATCCGCATGAGGTGACGCTGCACGCCAGGCGTCGGCTTCTCCGTCGATGAAAGCCAGCCGCTCATATTCAATGTCGAACCCGCCGTATTTGTTGATCCGCTCAATTTCCGGCGGCTTGAAGATGCCAAAGGCTTCCCGGCACATGATGCTGGCGTACTCGAGGTCAATCATGCGCGAAACCATGGGCATTCGGTCTCTGGGGACTGTGCTACCGACTTGAAGGTACCCCCATCTAAGAAAAAAGAAAAGAAAGAGAAAAAATTAATATCAAGAGGGTTAGTCGGAACTTTGGGCGCAGAAACCAGCGAAATCCTTCATGGCATTGAATCTATTCCCACACCGGATATGGAAACTGAAACAACAAGGAGTGGTGGCGGTGGTAATGGAGGAGGCTTCACTTACTCCGTGCAAACCTGATAGGGCCAGCACCTATTGTCCGCTTGGGAAAGATCAACATCTTTAAACCATGGCCGCTCATGTTGTCCAAGGCACTCATCCAGCGTCTGATTGTGTGATTTACAACCAACTACCTGATCCACATTAACAAACCCAGCAAAGTTAAGCAGCCGGTTCGTGAGCGCACTCATTTGGGCAAAATAACCTGCCGCAGCAAGGAGCGCCTGTGCCTCCCCGCTCAAATTTCCATTCTTATACAACAACTCATCCACGGTGATGTTGCCGCAGTAGAAGTCAAAATTTGGCAGCGAAACTTCCGGGTCCCAATTGCGCGCCTGCCAATAGGTTATCCCAAATGAGAGGACATATGCAAAATCATCTATATGTGTCAGATTTCCCAGATTAAAAAATGATTTCAATCTTTCTATAATCTTTGCGTTGTTTTGACCCATTACGATTCTGTCGACCATGTCCACAAATTTCTGTGTTGTGGAGATACACTCTGGTGGGCCATATCTGCGGACGGCTTCGAAGTATTCCCAAAAGTCATAGATGGCTTTAGGCACACCGGAGGATGAGATGGCGCCCCAGAAGATATCCGGGTATGAGACGCGGAGGAAAGCCTATAAATAGGGGTGAGCCGTTGCTGGTTAAGAGGGTTGATTCGATTTGATTTCTTTCGTTTCTTCCCCTCCCGTCTTTTCTTTCCCCCCTCCCACATTTTTCATTTTTTTTTTTTTTTTATATTATTATTATTATTTTTTAACCTTGTTACTCTCTTTTTGCAATGGTAAGAAAATGCAACAGGAAACAAGAACCTACCACCTGAGCCCCAGCATACGAACCCCCATAAATAATCCACGGCGCCTTTTCCCCCTTCGCCGTCAAATCCACCCCCTCAAATCCTTCAAACACAACCTCCTGCGCAAAATACGCCGAATCCGCCATCGCCTGCTCAGTCGTCAAGAACCTCAGGTTCTCCGTCGATAGGTTCGCGGTGGGGAAGCTCTCACCATAATAGCGATGTTCAAGAATTACTCCCAGGCCATTAGTTGCCTCGGAGAGAATTTTCATGATGCCCTTCTGCAGGAAGGGCAGGCGGTTGACGCCGCTCGTCTCGCCGCTGTGAAGGACGATTATGGGGCCTCCTTCTTTGTAATGGCTGGCGTCGAACCAATAGCGCAAGTCGAACTTCTCGTCTGTGTGTGGTTCATAGCGTGAATCGTAGGGGAAGTGATCTATGGGGACTTTGATTTTATGGGGTTTGTAGAGGCCTTTGGGGTCCGGGGCGATGGAGCGCCCTGTGAGAAAATTTCTCTTCTAAAAGATTGCATAAGTTAGTGTGATTGGGTTGGGTCAGAGAGTGATATGGGTTTGTATGCAGCAGATTTGGACTATTTTGTCATGATCTGTGACCAAATATGTCCCAATGGAAGCTTGGGATATGAGCCATATATGTGAAATATGCGACAAGAAAAAAAAGGAGATGATACTCCTAGACCACGTCCACTCCGTGTACCAGCGAAAAAATCATCAGTCAACCTTGCGCTTGCGACAGCCAACTGTATCAACCCGAACAATAACAATACAAGGTGTAAAGTCTCCACCAGTCTGATAGCCATGGCAGGGTGCGCACTCAATTTGAATCCAAATCTCAAAAATCACGGCAATGATGGAGCGACTCTCCTCTAGAATTCAAGAATAAAAGAAAAGCAGAAGAAGAGGTTAAGAGAGAAGTCTTCCACCCTGACGATCTTTAAAATAGCCAGCCATTGGGCTGCAATACCGATTAAGATATTGTCCAGGCTTCAACCAATCCATGGACACTACAACGGGAAACCAAGAGGTTTTTAACAAGATCTACATTCTCAGCACAAGTTAAAAGTAATCCGGCACGCAGAAATAACCATGAAGCATCGTCCATGCAGATGCAACCATGCATGTATGAACTCCGAAGAGGCTACCAGCATTCCGACTTGCACTCAAATATACACCAAAATAATCTTGCATCTTGCTGCATCCTAGACCAACATGATCGAACTCTAAAATGAGTTGAACAGCACCTCAAATCTTAACTCACCGCTTCAATCACTGAAAGAGTTGGTTAAACCTCACCAAGATGAAAATTGATGCAAGATTCTGAGTGACTTTTCAGCTAACTTGATAATTCACAGTTTTTCATGGCAGCCTTCTTAGCAGGCATGGAGATGGTATCCCAGACGTGGGACCGGGCTTCATCCATGGGGACGATATAGGCTATATTAACTTGCCATTAGTCCTTGAGCTAAGGCGCAACAGACCGTTCTCACATTATTGGCCCGCCTGCCACGATGAAACCTTTAAAATATAACTAAGGATCTACCAATGGATTATATGCAATGTTATATTCAAGTCCAAGCACCGTGATGGTGAAGATAAAGTGGTAGACCGCAGTGCTTAAGCCCTGGCTCAAGTAGCTCAATATGCCATTTACTGTAATTGCGCACCACGTACGGAGTAACTACAGTTGGCTTTCATCCCTTTCATCCTGAGCCACGAAAGGGCATCCAAGGAAGGATTTGGGTCAGGAACAAGATGATTTGTTTTTCCCGTCGCAAATTGTTTCTTACTTTGGTCCCTCATGCCGCGCCCAGCTTATAAATTATAAATTACCTTATCAGGGGCACGGCACAAACCCCGCTTGAGAACAAATTAACCGCCCAACGTGCGTTGCATGTGCGCTGTATGTACGCTGCGGCAGACATCGATGCCATGAACAAGATGGATAACAAGTTTCACGATATCATACGGAGTAACTTTGTGTAAAAGCAGCGAGGGACGCAGTCGCGACCCCTCTAAAATTTCGGTTAAATGAAAAATATATCAACGGATCCTCCAGAGCTGAAGGGATGGTGAAGATCTCCACTCCCCTCCCCGCATCTTTGCATCTTTCCTCTCATCTCTGCTGCCTTACCTTTCCTTTTTCAGTACGTAGCGCATCGGAGGGAGTCGGGACTGCATGGATTCATGGATCCCTGCGTATCCATCCCGATGTAGGCTCCTCGGAGGTCCTCACTTTAAGGACGCTGATAGGCAGCCTAAGCAGGTGTTGAGACCGACTGGAAAGTTCTCACAGAAGCCTGGTAGCCCTAGTAAATACTTGACTGAAGAATCAAGATCTGTGTCGGAAAAACCACTCGCACGCTGCCGTGTTCTAGTAGATGCTTATCTATTATTTTCCAGGCAAAGAGGACTGGGAAGGTTTCGGGCCCTTTGACAGTGTCTGATGTTGATTTTCCGTGGGCCTCTTCTCTTGATGGATGATAATAGATAAGGATGGATATATGTATGTAAGTGTGTACACTCACACATTGAATTTTAACTCCGGGAACCAAAATTTGGGGAGACACAGAACATCTTTTGCGAGTGGAACAACGTGTTTTCGTCTGTGTTACTCGGTTTTATCAGCAGTGCATAAATGACAGCATTTCGCAGTGCTACACGAAGAAGAATATCGCCAAATCGATAGGGATGAGGGGATAGATGCATAGGCTCATGGGGGATTGCAACGGATTTTTATATTCTGTCATAATTTAAGAAGGGATATTCTATGTCAAATGGCATGGTCCCGACTCTCATCAGGTGAGGTGGTGATTTGATGGCTGCCGTCTTCTCCGTACACGATTAAATATATCCCAACCACCGCCTTCCACCGATAATCAACCATAGCCCACATTCTTCTAATGTCATCTTCCGCAATGATTGTGAGAGTAAACATTTATAAGTATTAAAAAAAGAAAAAAAAAAAAAATCCAAAATCCTCTAAAGCCCCGTAAGACCCGACGCCCATTATTTTAGGCGCCGTTTATCAGGATTGTTCATTATTACTCATTCTGCATGGTTAATGCGCCACTGATCACAAGCAAAGATTTATGCATACGTGCATCACTCCGTATAAAAAATTAGCACACATTACCTCATACTTCATACCCCAGAATGTTCTCATCGCTATGTACGAACAATAGCGCATCCTCAGGGGAGGTTTTGTACGGGGCACATTGCTGCTTAGTAGACATAGAGGCAGTAATAGTAATATTTTCACAAGATTAGACCGGTCTATAAACATAGACGCAATGATAAGGATAAATCTATCCATCCGTGTATAAAGAAGCCCTCGTCTTGACGCTGTAGAATTATGCTGCATATATGGATTGTAGTAAAGGCGCAAGGCAGGGTGCCTACAAACATCAGTACTCCGGTATGGTCCTCGGGTGAGGAGGGGACATATCTTCTTGCCTTCAGTCTCCCTAACCAATTAGGACGGAAAAACATGAAGAGGCATTGTCAGTTAAGTTGTCTCCGGCTCTGTTTCCCTTTTCCTTTCTTTTCCAGCTCCAATTCCATCCCCCCTCCCCATGTTTCCTTCCTTCTCCTTGGTCTCCTTATTTTTAAGGAGACTAAATAACCTACCCTACCCGTCTTACACGGAACAAGAATCGAATTGAGATTGAATATGATGACGAAACATCCCCTCCATCCGCCGAGCTCAATCAAAAAACCGAGTGTTGAGGCAACTCAAAAGGGTGACATAAGGAAGAGACGCCCCACTTTGAGAATACGGATTGCCGACATCGTCTGATTCTGTGCACGCGATGATTTTTTTCGCACATGGCTTAATCGCGTTTGGTGAGGGAAGGATAGAGCGCTAATGATGAATAGGAGAACATCTTGTTCCTTCTGCCCACTCTCTTCGAGTTGATTGAAAAGGGCTGAAGGGTAGTGAATGGAGTATGGAAGTTAGAACGAAATGAGTTGTGGGAAATGAATCAGAGAAGAATGACATAAATGAAAAGAGCATCAGAAGCGAATTTGTATCAATTTTGTTGTTATAAACCAGGACTGCAGCAAGAGAGAGAAAAAAAAAAAAAAGGGAAACACAAAACAAAAGCCGGAACCAGAATCATTCGACACAACTCACGACCTAATATCACAGCAGTCTCCTTACCTACTCAACTTTTTCATTCCAATTAGTCCGAACTCCAAGGCAAACGAAAATTTTGACGAAATCAATACTATCAAGATATTTGAACGTCTTGATCAAGCCCTCAGCGCCTCTTCTGCAACATGCCCCTCAAAGCAACAGCCTCCCCTTCCCAGCGAGCAGCTTGCATCTTCAGCTCATCCCTTTCCTTACACACCCTTTCCAGAGTCCGTTCCAGCTCTGCAACACGGTCCTGCTGCTTTTGGCGGAAGCGGCGAGCAGCAAGGGTGTTGCGCCGACGCTTGTCCGCAGCAAGGTCTGCTGCAGTTGCTGCGGCTTTTGGAGCAGGGGAACGGGTTGCTTGTGCAGTAAGACGGCCAGCTTGCGTTGATGGAGATGCGGAATTAAGGGTGCTAGTACTTGAAGGGGATGGAGAGGTGCTTGAGTTTAGGGTCAGGGGAGAATATGTCTTTGGTTGAAGTTGGTAAGTGGGGGCTTGGGTTTGAGATGGGAAGGTTAATTGATGGCATTGCGTGGGATTGATGTCCTGGTTGATAATGCTCTGAGAGGTGGGAATATAGTCATCATTCTTCAGGTTGTTTGACGAATGGTGGTAATCTGGCGGAGAGTATAGCGTTCTTGGTAGTGCGGGTGCCTCGAAGGAATCTGAAATGTAACGTATTAGAGAAAAATTCCAGTGTTATATAGTTTCACATATGGGTATTTAGGGGATGAATGGACGGCTATTCAGTCTCACAAGCAGCCAAATCCACCTATATATATATAATTGGAAAGAAAATAAACAAAGGAAAAATAAACATATATAAACTCACCTTGCGCATTGTTTAAATAGAGCGATTCATCAACTTCTAGCTCATCCCCTACAGAATATGGGTGTACTAGGTCATATTCCGAAATTTCAACGGGAGCAGGTGCATCTGATAACGGATTCGACAACATACACTCCTGTTCACTTTGCGAGCCGGTCCCTGTTGAAAGCAGGGAAGCGTCCAGTGGGTGGTCATGCTGGTCGAAGATATCAAGACTGACATCAAGAAAATCCAGCCAGGGAGATGCCGGAGCGGTAGTGGTGGCGGCAGAAGTGGCAGTTTGTGTTGGAATGAATCCCTCTACAGACAAGGGGGCCGTAATAGAATTAGAGGGAAAATAGTGGTCAGGAAAGGGATCATTCCCTCCGTTCAGCTGGGTAAAGTCTATATGTTGATAGTGGTATTGTTGATAAGCGATTGACGAGGGCTGCTGAACAGAACCCGAAGAGCAAGCAGATACAGGAGAATTAGAAGAAGATGCAGTTGCAGCTGGAATGGAAGCATGGACGGAAGCAGCCGTAGATGCAGAAATAGAAGACGGTAAAGACTGATGGTAGTGGGATTGAAGAGAAAGAGATTCGTCGGGCGGCAGCCCCAACGGCGCAGCATCGAAATTACTACGGTTGACATGGCCAGCATTGCGCCGCTGGGGGTGAAGGGGGTGGCTGTGGTGGTGATTATGGCGGTAGGAAGGGGACAAGGAGGGTGGATGGCTGGTAGAATGATACACATTGCTTAGGAGCAGCTGCTGCTGAGGACATGGTGACCGCCATTGTTGTATGGTGGGGTGGGGGTTGAGATAGGCCCGTTAGCGGGGGCAGGAGACGTCGTCAACAACTTGCTTGGCCTTCTCGCCTGGTGGTTTGAAGAGGAGAAGAAATAGTAAAAGAAGAAGAGAAGAAAAAACGGAGGAAGCGGAGAAAGCGGAGGTATAAAAAGGAGCCTCGTCGCCTGCAGGATGGAGCGAGGTTCGGGTGAGGCTTTGGCGGTTGGTCGCGTGGATTAGGGGTGAGTCAGCCGCTGGAGTTCTCCGATACATGATACATCAACATAACATCGCAACCAGGGGATCAGAATGGGCATCGAATCAGCCAACATCGCCCCTTACTCTGTCCGCACCAGTTGAGAATGAATTCAGTGCAAGCTGGCTAGGGGCTGCACATTGCAGAACATCACCTAACTCAATTCATTCAAACCATTGGAGGTTACCATTTTCCTCTCCATCTGGTTCGTCTGCTCACGACGATCTCTTCTCAGCTAAGATGATATATGTATGTACAGTCCTGTATATACTAAACTTCAGTTCTCTACGAAATGGAGGGCTTCTCTTTTTTGGTTTAACCCCCTCCCAACTTGTAACCCCTTGACAACATTGTGACGTTGTCATGCATAACTTACGAGGCGAACGTCCCCTCTTTCTTCTGTTGGAACCATCAAAGAATCACAACCTCCTTCGTGGGCTCAAGAGGCGGTAAAACACGATTACGAAAACATTCCTCTATCTATTCATATCTATAATCACAGGCATTTTACGGAGTCCACACATGGGAAGATACGCAATATTCGCGTTGCACCTTTCCTTCTGATGCTATTCTTGCTTTTCTCTTGATCATACCTCCAATGCCCCTTACATATATGTGAATAGACCACTGAAGGTACCATATCTGATCATTTCCTAACCTTGAAAACTAGCCCACCGGTTTTGGGGAGGGGGGGGGAGGGTTGGGGGTTGGGGGAAATGTCAGTCCATTTCATCATCCTGCCTGGGGAAGTGGATTTGTTAGGCGTCAGCGCCAGGTAGGACTCCTAGAGAAAAGAAGTTCCGGACACGTTACAGTCAATGTTTTAGGCGGATGTGCAAATCTTCCACAGAACAGGATATTCCACCGAGGTTGCCTTGCGCATCGTTGTTGGCTGTTTCCCACGGCTGTTCAGCGACGTCTCAGCCGCTACATATAAGACCAATTGCCATGCTCAAGCAGAGGGTAAGGGAGGTTGATTCAGGTTATCAAATCTCGACCAACAACTTATTTCGGTATTTTTTTTTTTTTTTTTTTTTTTTTTTTGTAAATCTTGAAATCCTATGT